TGGCCTCCGCCTCAGCGTAGAACCCCCGCCGCGCGCTCTCTTCTGCGCTGCTTCTCCGGCGCCGCGACCAGCAGCTCGCGTCGTGCTTGCCGCGCTCCTTGCTTGTCTGTGGTGAGGTGCCTTGCGCGCTGCTCCCTGATCCTGAACAGCTTCTCCTGCCCCTTCGCCTCGCGCGAGCGCTTGTCCCTCTGCTCCGTCGTTGCGCGCAGCCGCTGGTGCGCGCCCTGCAGGGAGCGCGAAATCCACCGCCACCAGATAGCCTGCCACACTGGCGTCGGTAAGTCGCCGCCCCCAAAACTGAGCGGTTTGACCCTCCACGCGGGCGCCTCCGCTCCACCTGCACGAGGGTCATTGCCCGCCCACTGCGCGCCTCTGATCGCGAAGGCCTCCTTCCCCAACTTGAGCCTGTACTTGGTCCGCTCCTGGTTCGCCGCTGTCTGCGAGCTGAAACTGACCACCTGCCCGTGCCTCGTCGGCGCTGAGGCGCAGCCGATCTGAAATATCTGCAAGGGCTTCGGCTTTTCCAACGCCCTGACCATGCGCTCGAAGACCTTCGGCTCGATCGATAGCCCCGCTGGCTTGAGCGGTGTCGGTGCCCCCCCCCGCCCCTGCACTCGAGTGCCTGCCACCTGCGCCTTGGCCGCGCCGGCCACGATGAAGTTGTCGAACTCGCTGCTGCCATAGGCACGCCTGCACGTGCCACGCGCTGCCTGCGGTGCTATCACGCACGCCTTCGCCAACTTCATGCACTCCACCTCGGCCGGGATCTCTGGCCCTACCTGGAAGTCACCGCCCGCGATCCACGGCACTCCTAGCATCTGCAGCTGGCCCACCATGCGCGTGATCAGCTCCCTGTTGCGGTGCGACATGCCCTCGGCCGTCCACAGGTACACCGACGCGATAACTACGCCCTTGCCCACCGATACCCAGGCCGCTGCAGTGCGTCCTGGGCTCCTTTTCGGTGGGATATCCCACGTGTCCTGGCCGTGCAGGCAGGTCATGCCTACACGCTTCGGTACTGCCAATGCAACCCCCGCAGACGAGCCCACCTCAACTGCTGGCCCCGTTGTTGACGCAGCTGCGGCACCACCCAGCTGGCAACCCTACGCCTTCATGCACTGCGTGGCCACAAGCCACTGGTCCTCGGTTAGATAATGCTCCAGCACTGCGTAGCAATGCAACGTTCCCTGCACCTTCTCGCCCAGCTTCTCCTTGATGGTGCACCAGCCCGAGCCGTTGAAGGCCCAGACTGTGAGTTTGTCGTACTTCTTCATCTTCTTGCGGTCGCCGTGGTTAGGGACGCTTCTGTCGTTTCGCTGCGTGCTCAGCCAGGCTGGCGCAGACCTCGATCCACCGCGTATTCTGCTCATCGCTGGCATCGGAAGGGACTCCACCTGCCTTGAGCCATTATTGTTCAGGTTCGGATAGCTCTGGCCCGTTGTCTTGACCTCCTGCTGCGTCGCCGCCGCCACCCCCAATTACAGCACCACGAGTCACACGTGTAGGAGCCATTTGCACGTCGCCCTTCGCGATGGCAATGACTTTGCCGAACTGGGCGAACAGCTGCTGGTGCTCCAGCGGGGATACGCCACTGCCATCGACTGCCTTTTCGTACTGCTTCTGCATGGCTGCGAGGAAACCAGGGGAGGCGTCTCCAACACCCTGCACCTTGAGCTCCTGCTCTCGCGCACATGCTGCCTTCGCCTGCTCCTTTTCCTTTGCCAAGCGTTTACGAGCCTCCGGCAACTGCTTCCCGTGCCGCTGCACCTCCTCCTGGAGGCCTGCCACTTCCTTCTCCGCCCCGTTTTTTGCGATGCGCGCCTGGATGAGCTGCAAGCCGTGCGGCTTGGCACTGTCCTTCTCATCCCGCGCACGCTGATACTTCTCCTGAGCGGCCTGTTACTCCACCGACGGTTCCCTTCATTCGAGGAGACCCCAACAGGCCCCAAGAAGACCCCCAAGAGGCCCCCAAGAGGCCCCAAGGAGACCCCCAGGAGGCCCCAAGGAGACCAACGCGCAACCGTCCGCACTAGTAACACTTGGGGGGCCGGCGGCAGAGGGCGAAGCCCCAAAGAGAGAGAGAGAGAGAGAGAGAGAGAGAAAGAAAGAAAGAAAGAAAGAAAGCGACCTATGTGTGTACCTCTCTCTCTCTCTCTGCATCTGTACATGTATACATGTGTTTGCACATGGAGAGAAGGAATTTCGCATGTCTCTCTATGTCTCTCTGTCGCCTCCCTCTCCCTCTCCATCTCTCTCCCTCTCGCCTCTCACGCTCTCCCCCGTCTCTCCGCCTCGCCCCTCTCTCTCTCTCTCGCCCTGGCGCGCCCGTCGGGGGCTCCTCCGAGCCTGGAGCGCCCCGCTCCCGGGGCTCCGCTCCCGAGGAGAAGCCGCCCGGACGCTCGCGCGGGCGGCACCCCGCGCACCCTCGGGTTCCCTCGGGCACTCGGCCCCGTGGGGCGCCGAGGAGGACCTGCAGCTCTCCCCGGGGGCCGCGCCCCCGGGCGCAGGGCGGCGCGCCGGGAGGGCGTGGGGGGGGCTAACAACTAGAGGGGCCCAGGGACACACCCACACACACCCACACACACAAATCCACGCATGCCCCCCAGAATCTCCACCTCCTCCCCCTCCTCCCCCTCCTCCTCTTCCTCCTCGTCGTCCTCCTCCTCCTCTTCCTCTTCGGTTTCCTCCTTGTTCCCCTCCTCCTCCCCGTTGGAGTCCCTGTCGAAGGCTTTTGGCATCGCGGAGCTCTCTGCTAGCACGCTCGGGAACCTCCTGAGAGCCTTACCACCTTCCAGAAGACCTTCCAGAAGACCTTCCAGAATACCACCTCCTGCATCAATGAGGGTCATCTTCCAGGGACGGCGGCACCGGTCGCACGGCCTCTCTAACAAATCGACCCATATGCCGGAAAGCTTCATATGTGTTAGATGTGTCCTGGAAGTTCGTCGTCCCCTCCATTTCCAATGTTTCCCATGTGTCTTACATGTTCTTCATCTGCTTTTGTTGTCACAGTATGTCCGATGTTTGTCACATACGTCTTATGTTCCCATGTCCTATATGTTTCCATCTGTCCTCGCCCCCCATATTTCCAATATCCTCCACATGTTCACAAACATAGCGCGCATATATGTGTTTATGCCTACGACTTCCCGAGGGGCGCTCGGGGACCACTGCAGTAAGACGAGGTCACGGCTGGGACAAATCGGTCCGGGATAGGTCGGGGATCTCTGAAATCTGATCTGGCGATCTAGCAGTTCTGCAGGACATATCGGGTGCCGCGGCCATTCCAGAGCGCGGCTGAGCGCTCCGTGAGCGCTCTCAGTCGATGTTTCCCGGTCCTGCCTCAGACTCGCAAAGAATGCTCACTCCTGCTCCAGCAGCGTGTGTGGCGACCAGGCCAGACCATTCGTCCCATAGGTGCCCACCCTTCTTTACAGGGCTTTCTGTTGCCAGCGTGCGCGTTCTGTGGATACGCGCGCGTCTTTGTCCAGGGCCCGCACACCACTCTTCCAGGGCGGTGGGGGACCACCCCCAACAGCACAGTACTTCCAGCGCCGTGAATGTCTTTGGGTATTCCTTGGATGAGAAACTTCGATCGCAGAGACAACCCGAGGTACGGACGCCAGGGATGAGCTTCTTGGTGCCCGTGACATCGGTTGCGCCACCCCGGCACCCAGGGGGGCAGCGACACGCGGCGGGAAGACTCTTCAGGGAAGGGGATCCCGAGCCACTTTTTGTTCGGGCTCGATGCTTCTCCTGACTGGTGCTGCCAGCCTGCGTCGCGATCGGCGGCTCATCGTGCCAGGCAGGCCTCCTACTGCGCAGTGTCGAGTGCACTGATGCGCGCTCGCGCACGCGTACGCACCAGGCGGGGGGCAGGGGAGGAGAAGCGGCAGCAGGAGGAACGACATACCACCTGCCAGCGCTCCCCGTGCCTCTTCCTGCTGCCCGCCCCGCGATTGCCGGCTATCCCCGCCGTGGCTGCTCCCCCCTTGGCGCTGGCTGCTCTCCTCGCGCCGCTGCCGCAATACCAACCGCCAAGCGGATCCGACCGTCCACCCTGCAGCGACATGGGCCAGGCTCCGTGTCGGCATCGGCGCGCGCACTCGCCCGGAAGGCGCGCACGCCGATGCCGAGCCAAAGCTTGGCATGGCCAGGATCTGCGAGCACAGGTGGACACTCGAGGGGGAATCATCAATGGGGGCACCTGCTCGGGGGGGAGCATCGACCTGGAATCCGCGACACTTGTTTGGTCTGCGGGGCGAGAGCGAGCCTCTTCTGCTAAACGCTAGGCGGGCTACGCACAGCGTCAATTGGGGGGACAGGGCGCACAGGAGGGCGGGGCCTCTGGAATCCGCAGCACGCCGCCGATAGATTGGCGAGAGGGGCCCGACAGCGAATCCGGACGGTCCTGGGCGGGGTGGGCCATCAGGCCCCCATCGGCGATGAGTGGGCGATAGCTGGCGGCGCGCAGGAGAGGTATGGGGGAGGGGGGAAGGCTTCCTCGAAGGAGGGAGCCCTACATCTATAGCGAGGCCGGGGAAGGCTTCTTCGAAGGCGGGAGGGGGGAAGGCTTCCTCGAAGGCAGGAGGGGGAGGGGAGGGGAGGGAGGCTGCTCCTTAGAAGGCCAGGCCCCTACGTCTTCAGCGAAGGCCCGCGCCTCCTGAGAAGCAGGGGTGCTCCCCAGAAGCCTACATGAACCCCCCTCTGCGCGTGGCCGAGATTGAGCATCGATGCTTCCCCCTCTTCGACTACACGCAAGAGCGACTCTGGGTAAGAGTGACCTTTGGTGCGCGCCTTTTTGGGGGCCGCGGGGGGGCCAAACACAAGCGCGCAAGACGCCACTGCCGCCTCGCATTTGGCGATCGGGGGACCTCAGTGGGCCCGCACCAAAAGTCACTCCGGCGACAGGTCACTCTTACGTCTAGTCGACCTCTTGACCCACCCCAACATTGCCCTCGCCCAGTCCGCGCCCAGCCCGCCCCCTGCACCCCGAGCGCCTGGACGTTCTTGATGCCACCCCGGAGCGCCGGCAGACGTGCCGTGGGTGCCTGTGCGAGAGGCGAGGCGCCGCAGGCGCGCGCGTGGCGCACACGCATTGGCGCGCGGCATCCTTGCATCGGATCCAGCCGCCCTCGCGTTAAAGAAAAAAACAGGGCGGGGAACATGTTCGATATTTTCTGCATCCGGTGGCACTTACCGGGCCTCGGGACCGTCAAAAAACACTCGGGGTGAAAAACCCGTCCAGGGAAGGGATTCAGACCTCTGGGGGTCGACGTTCTGAACAACAACCACGACGTCGTGGGTCTGGGGATCTATCTAAGATAGCACGGCGCCCATCAGAGAACTACACCGATCCTGGCCGGGCTCATCCTGGGCCCAGGATCGGTGTATACGCCCTCCTGGCCTGGGCAGGAAGGCAGATGCATGTGCCCAGGATCTGCCTGGCCAAGGCCGGCGGTGTATGGCTCGTGCCCTCCCAATGCTGCTGTGTGCCAGTCTGAGCACGGGCCAGGCCAACGATGCCATGCCTGGACACGCGGCCCCTGCCACGAGCGTCGCAGCAGCACTCTCCGACGCCGTGCCGGCTGAACGAAGGACTGCGTGGCAGGAGGGCTGCGTGTCCCGCTCAGCCCTCGCTGCGGATCCTGCGAGGGGAGAGAGGAGCCGCAGGAAAGGAGGGGGGTCGGAGGCGGACGGGAGAAGATGGGCGGATGAGGACGTGGAGGCCCAGGCTGTCCATGTAGAAGCGGCAGATGTGGTAAACTTGCAGAAGGGAGTGAACAGCGGGAGGTGAAGACGACTGGAGATACATGTAGGCACAGATGAGGTGGATGATGCGGCGTTTGTTTGTGAGCGCGGTGCCGCTCGAACCCAGAAAGGCGAACGTGTCGCGAATTCCTGAAATAACTGGAGCGACGACAGGAACGGCCAACGGAAGACGAACATCCACGAGCAACCCTAGCCAGGAAAATAAAAAAAAAAAAAAAAAATGCCTCAAAACTGGATTTGATGCGATGGAGAAGCAGAGATGCCAATATTTACATGTTATATATAACGCATATGTATATGTATGTGTTATAAGTATCGGTTTGACGCATACGCATATATACATACATATATATACACATAACAGGGCGAGAGAGAGAGAGAGAGAGAGACAACAAATCAAGAGTGAGACAGAGAGAGAGAGAGTAAGAGAAAGAGAGACAGAGAGGGAGGGGGAAGGAGAGAGCACAATAATCGGACAACTGTCACCTCGCCCGCTTGTCATACTCCCTCCTCCCAACCCCCCTTACCTTACCTTTCAATCCGTCCTTTGGCCCACGGCGTTTTGACTTTGAAGCCGTCGCTCGCAATATCCGTTGCCGGCGGCGCCACTACAATTTTACTGCTCTTCCTCCTCCTCCTCCCTCATCATGCTCACCCTGTTCACTTCACCTTCTTCTGCCCCTCATCATTCTCCCCCTGCTCCTGCTACAACCTTCCGCTTCCCCCTCCGCCCCATCCTCCCATCCTCGTCCTCCTCCTCCTCCTCCTTCTCCACAACGCTGGGCGAGTCCGAAGCCGCCCGCGCCGCGCGCGAAGCCGCGCGCGGGCGGGGGGGGCCCGGCACCCCTGGCCGCCTCCGAGGACGGTTGCCACACGGCCCTCCTCCGCTGCCTCCGCCTGTGAGCTGTGAAATGATGGCGATCGGGTCGTTAGGACGCCGCCCTCCCCCCCTACAAGGGCCAGCAGGCCATGCGGGGGGGTTTGAGCAGACCAGGGCCAGGCCACTACTGGAGCACCGCTCCCCAGGAGTCGCCATCTGTTGGAAGGTATGTGCTAAAGTAGGGCAGACAAAAAGAGAGGTACAGAGAGGAAATGGAAGGGGGGGGGTTAAGGAGTACAACCATACAGAGAGCGGGAGGGAAGGGATACATATGTATATGTGTTATATGTTGACACACAGAGATACACATGCATAGATACATACATACATGCCTGCATGCATGCATGCACGTATGCATGCACACAAACATACATACGTACATACATACATACATACATACATACATACATACATACACACATATATACACACATACATGCATGCATGCATGCATGCATGCATGCATGCATGCATGCATACATACATACATGCATACATACATACATACATACATACATACATACAGACAGACAGACAGACAGACAGTCAGACAGACAGACATGCACACATACAAACGTACATACATAAATACAGACATACACAAATACAGACACATATACACATATACATATATACACATAAACATGAATACACACATAACACCATACACATACACACATACACACACGTTATTACGTACGTACATCTATGCATGCATGTATACAGACAGACATGCAGACCTACGTACATGCACACATGCATACATGCATACAAAACTGTATATACATATCAGAACACTTGTGTGGATCCTCCTCCTCCTCCTCCTCCGCCTCCTCCTCCTCATCATCATCATCATCATCATCATCATCATCATCATCATCAGCATCATCATCATCATCATCATCATCATCATCATCATCATCATCTTCCTCCTCCTCCTCCTCCTCCCGCTCCTCCTCCTCCTCCTCCTCCTCCTCCTCCTCCTCCTCCTCCTCCTCCCCGCCTCGCCTCAGACGAGGCACTGACTGAAGCTCGGGATGCGGGTGGAGCACCCGGCCTGTCTGTGAGCGCCTCCCGGCCGAGGTAAGACCACCCCCTCACATAGCAGAGCAGCCTGCTGACCCAGTCTCGAGCGGGCGGGCGCTCTCCAGGACCTCCGGCTGCCTTGCACATCCCCCCCCCTGATCAGGCCGCACCTGACGCAGCTGGACGCTGCGCTCTCCCACCCCCCTCTGTTTCTGTTTGCACTGCTTCAGGGGAGCGTTTGGAATCAGAGATGCACCAGGGAGAAGTCAGCCAGTACGATTGGGCGACACATGTATGTGAGAATGTGCCACCTGTAGCCACAACGGCTCGGCACAACCTGTCAGAGAGGCGCCTACTCGTTCGCGCCTACTCGTCTGGGCATTCGGGTCATCACTCGGCTCCCCGGCGGCCGATCGGGACGGTTCCAGCACCCCCGGAACGCTCTCGGCGAGGCGCAGGTGCTGGACACCATCCCGAGGCTGGAAAGCCGCCTCGGAACAACGGCAAGCGCCAGAAAACCTGGAACCTCGAACCACCGCAAACATCCCCCCCTTCGTCCCCCGATCTCCTCCCCGTCTGCCCGCCCCCACCCCCCCACACCCCCCCGCGGCGGGCTCCTGCTTGCACAGCCCCCGCACCAGGTCGGCCCATGGCAGGGCGCCCGGGAGGCCCAGCGCGTCCACGCCAGCCCTCGCCTCGTGGCGACCCACGGCTGGGCGCTTCGACGCACGCCGACGGCGAAGATCCCGAGGAGGCACCGGCGGCCCGCCTCACACTACTCGTCCAGTAACCACTCGCAAGTGGCCTGGATCCACCGCGGGGCATGTACAATCCATTACTTACATCGAAGCAGGCGCGTGTGCTTTCGGACGACGGCTGTGAGTAGGCCCGTCGCGAGCAGCGGCACGCCCTCGGTGGCACACGGTGCGTCGGCCGCCCGCGACGTGGGGCCCAGCGTGCGCCGGGGAGGGAGGGGCGGGGTGGAGGAGGAGCAGCCCTCCTCCAGCCTGGGCGACGCGAGACACGGGCTCGGAGGGCCTCCAACTGGCCTCACAGGGCCATCATGGAAAAGACGAGGCTCGATCTGAAATTTGACGCGAGCTCCCGCTGCACACATGCTACGAAAACTAGACCGTCAAAACCCGGGACGCGCTCGTCAAAAAGCGTCGGCAAGCTCGAATTCTGGCGCACTCGAGTCTTACGCCTCCTCGATCCTGGACGCTGCCCTCCTCCAGCCCAGCCTCCCCCTGGCCTCCCCGTCGTCGCCCGCCGTCCTCTCCCTCCCGGTTCCTGGAGGGCAGCACAGCGCACCCCCACCCCCAGCCAGGATCCCCACTCCCGACAGGGTGATGTCCTGGCTGGGGGTGCTGTCCAGATGCCTCGTCCTCATTCCTCGTCCTCCTCAACCTCGTTCCTCCTCCTCATTCCTCCTCCTCCTCCTCCTCCTCATTCCTCGTCCGCCTCCTTCCTCGTCCTCATTCCTCGTCCTCGCTGGGGTTCCAGGGTTGTGCTGTCCTCAGTCCTCGTCCTCCTCGACCTGCACCCCCCTTCGTGTCCGCCTCCGCGCCGCCGTCCCACCCCCCGTCCTTCCCTCTCAGCCTCTAGATTCCTGCCCTCCCTCTCCCTTCTTCCCTCGCCCCCTCTCGCGCCCTCCTTCCCTCTCCCTCCATCTCCATTCCCCTCCCACACACTCCCTCTCCATTCCTGCCCTCCCTCACCCTCTCCCTCCATCTCTCGCCCCTTCGCACCCCCTTCGGGGAGGTTCTCAGGGTGCCCGTCCCTAAAGTTCGCGACCCATGCAGAGGCATTGACCCCAAATCGCTGTTGCGCACTCCGCGGGATGAGAATACCATGATGTTTCATGGCTCATGCGGCACTTCTGTCAGACTGGTATGGGCCCACTGGTTGGCTTCCGCTGTGTTCCGATGGCCTTCATCGGCCCTAGAACAGGCTCTCTGTGGGGCAATCACCCGCTATATTGGGAACCGATTGGCTCTTACAGCACGGGACCCCTCGAACGGATTAACGCTCGCACGTTGCAACACCCCGTTTTTTTACAGGACAGGACTGGACAGGACAACGGCACGTAGGGAGGCAATGCGGAGAGGCAGTGCACCAGGCCAGGAAATAATCAGCGAGCCTGAAACATCCATGGGTGACAATTGGGAAAGAAGCCCAGGAAAGGGATGGGAGGATGACGAAGTGAGGGAAGGCGATGGGGAAGGGACGGACGACGAGAGAGACGAACAGTGTGAAGGAGGAGAGAGGGGGGGCGAACGAACGATACGAGAACTAGCACTCGCAGGTGCGCAACGCATCTCAATCGCACCAGCGGTTGCGCTGGCCCGCAACACGTTTCGTTGCGTGCGATCGAGTGGAAGGCGCCCACTTCATGAAACGCGCGTTCCGCCGCTCATCTTGCGCAGAAGAAGCCCTGATGGATGAGCAGGAGGATCGCACCCGCATCTTGCTTTAACAGATATTCCTCCCCACAGATGATTGCACCTGCCCTGCTTTCAGAACCCCCCTCCTCAGCCATCCACAATCCCGTACGAACCAACACGGACTCCCAAACCGACTGGTTTGCCCTCGTCTTGGTTTTGCTTGGTGCGCGCTGCAAAGTGCAATCGGCTCATCAGCGGGTGCCGTGCTCCTCCTCCGCGCCAGCAGCCTCCCGTGGGACAGCGTTGGGGAGTCCGTCAGCGGCGCAGCGCCGCGCGCTGATGTGGTGTTCGCCTCCGTTGCAGGGCACACGCACGTCACCCACGGGCTCGGCTCGACGGCTTCCCCGCCTCCCCGTCCTCATCCCTCCCCCGCCTTCTCTTCCTCCTCCCGCCCCCACCCCGTGGCGTTTTTGCGCGCAGCGTGGGCACCTGGAGGTCTCCACCCCTTCCCCGGGGCCAGCTCTGCGCCCAGACTGAGCTTTGGCGGTCCCAGGTCGCGGTGAGAACCCCCGCGGGCCAGAAAGAAAGGCAAGCATTCCGTCGTGATCACTTCGCGAGGGGAGGTCTGCTGAGGGACCCATGGATCTTCAAGGGGCCCAAGGACACACAAGTAAATACACACAAAAAAGGATTCCCCATATTTCCCCATATTTCCTGGGTCTCTGTCTTCCCCCCCACTGCCCATAGTTTCCCATATTTTCTGGGGGATCGACGATTCATTGTGTCTGTGTGTTTTTTCCCTCCTGAGATCTGGCGCTTTTGCGCCAAGTCGATGGATCGGGGATGGCGCCCCCCAAGCATGAGGCCAGTGCCGCCCGATGTGGCACTGGAGCGCGACGATGCTGCATGGAAGCGGGACCCGTCGGTAATCCACGTGCCCGAGGCGGAGGAGGAGGAGGAGGAGGAGGAGGAGTAGGATGAGGCGGAGGTGGAGGAGGAGGAGGAGGAGGAGGCGGAGGCGGAGGCGGAGGAGGACGAGGAGGAGGATGAGCAGGAGGCGGAGGAGGCGGAGGAGGCGGAGGAGGCGGAGGAGGCGGAGGAGGAGGAGGTACAGGACCGAGGTGTAAGATCGAGGTCGGTTGGGGAAGGGCGCCCTCGATGCTCTTCGTTTACATACGTTGGATGTTCTTGTGCATCCTGGGGGAGGGCGCCCTTGGATGTTCTGTGTGTGCTTTGGCCGGCGAAGGGTCCCCTGTTCTGGAAGGAGGTTATTCTGTCTTAGGTCCGACCGTAATCCATGCTTGCATGTCCTCGAGCGATATCTCCCTGCACTGCAGCCCCTGCCTCAGCCCCTGAGTGTTGCCGCGACGCCGCCCCCTGCCAGCTGCCAGGGTTGCAGCACAGGCTGGCCGCCCCAGCCACTCCGCGGCGACGCCCGCCATGTGAACGCCGCCCCCTCCCCTCCTCGCGCCTCGCGGTTGCTTCCGCCTGCCTTTTCCTCCTCATGCCGCCGGTTAGTCTGCGCATTCCGTTGACCGGACCGTCTGAACGCGCATGTGGACTGCCTCTTCCGCGCTGCGACGTAAAGAGCCTCCTCGAGCGATCATTTCGAGATGACAGTGCTGCCCACCCCACGGCCCAGGGGTGGGCGGACGGACTCCTCTGGCCCGCGGCCCCCCCCCCCCAGCGGCGGCCGCCTTCTTGAAGACCTCGGCGGGGCTCCCGGCCGCGAAGGGGGTCCTCCCAGTGAGCAGCCTGGGGGCGCTGGTACTTGTGCTCCTGATGCTCCTTCCCTCTCTCCCCCCTCCTCGCCCTCCTCCTCCCTCTCCTCGTCGCCCTGCTCCTCGCCCTACTCCTCGCCCACCTCCACCTCTTCCTGCTTCCCGTGCCCCTCTCTCCCCCATCCTTCCCTCCTCCGCCTCCTCCTCCTCGTCCTCCTGCTCCTCCTCCTCCTCCTCCTCCTCCTCCTCTTCCTCCTCCTCCTCCTCAGCCTGCTCCTCTCCGCCCTTATTCGAGGATCGCCCGCCACTCTGGGGAAGAGAGAGAGAGAGAAAGATAGAGGGATGCTCGACGAGTCCAACAGGGGCATGTCCGAGGGGACCTTTTTTTACACTGCTCAGGGACGAAGTCCCGGCGAGGGGTCAGTGACAGCCCCGACGCCCCTAGGAAAAGCAATACAAACATTCGAGGATGACGAGGAGGATGAGAAGGAGGAGGATGAGGAAGAGGAGGAGGAGACAGAAGTGGCAGCGTCCGCCAGCTGCGCAAAAGCTGATAGTCGACAAAAGCGTTTCGCGTATGCGCAGAGCGGGCGCGTCGCATGCGCGTAGCTGCATATCCTCCTCCTCCTTCTCGTGATTATCCTCCTCCTCCTCCTTCTCCTCCTCCTCACTCTAAGTCGCTACCACGCCTGTTCAATCGCCTCCTCCTGCTCCTCGTCCTCTACCTCCTGCTTCGCCTCAGTCAACTTCTCCTGCTCCTCGTCCTCTACCTGTAGAGGACGAGGAGGACGGAGGAGGTGGAGGTAGAGGCTCTACCTCCACCTCCTTATGCTCGAACTCCCTCTCCTTCCCCTCTGTTTCCCCCTCCCCCTTCTCCTCCCTCCCCTCCCCCTCTTCCTACTGCTCCGCCTCCTCCTCCTCCTCCTCCTCTTCTTCCTCCTTCTCCTCCTCCTCCTCGTCGTCGTCGTCCTCCTCCTCCTCCTCCTCCTCCGCCTCCTCCCCCTCATCCCCCCCATCCTCCTGTTCCTTACTCGCCCCCCCCCTCAGGCAACTCGTGCAGCAGCACGCCGAGGGACCACCAGTCCGCCGTGCACGTGTAGCCGCTGCGGGAGGCCACCTCCGGCGCCATGTCCGCTGGCCCTCCCGCCCCCCTGGCTCGGGAGGGAGGGGGCGGCCGGGCTCGAGCGTGCAAGGGCTCAGCCTGCACGTTGCCTGCCTCGTCCTCCCCCTCCACCCGCCTCCTCCCCTCCTCTCCACTGCCTCCTCCCTCCTTCTCCCTCCTGCCTCCCCCTCCTGCCCCCCTCCTCCCTGAAGGAAGAAAAGAACAGCATAAACACCACTTCTCGGAGGTCCGCGCAGACTTTTTGGATCGGCGGTGTACCCCTTTCCGTGGCGCGCGGAGGCGCCGGAGGCGCCGGAGGCGCCGCCGCGGGGGCCCAGCGCCAATCCAAGAAATCCGCGCGGAACTCCGAGAAAGTACGTCCATGTCGTATTTTGTTCTTCGACTCCTTCCTCCCTCCTCCCTGCCTCTCCTCCCTCTTCCTCCTGCTCCCTCCCTCCTCCTCCGCTCTCCCGTTCCTCCTCCCTCCTCCCTGTTCCTGGTTTCATCAGCAATAAAAAGGATTCGAACCCTGTGGGAAGGGACCCAAATTAGGAGGGCCAGAAATATTAGGGATGGGGGGTCTTTCCTGCAGATACCTCAGAACAAGCAGCCAATATCTATCATCCCCACTGCGAAGACGAGGACCTAAAGTAGGTCAGGTCTTCATCGCATCATTTGGGTTAGGGTGTCTTTTGCTCTCAATGATCCCTCCCTCCCTCTCGTCCCTCCCCGCCCTCTCCGCTCAAGGGAGGGAGGCGGCGCAGCGGCAGCGACAGGAGCGGGGGGAAGCGGGATTGGAAGCCACGGGAGGGCAGGCGGCCAGCGGCGAGCAGCGGCGGGAGCGCGTCGTCGTCGTCGTGGCCGTCGTCGTCGTCGTCGTCGTTGCCGTCTGGGAGCGGAGGAGGAGGCGAAGGAGGCGGAACAGCAGAAACACCAGCAGCAGCGGCCAGCGGCGGCAGGGGCAGCGAGGGGGCGAGGGGGCGAGGAACGAGGGGGCAGGAGGAGGAGGAGGAGGAGGAGGAGAAGGAGGAGGAGGAGGAGGAGGAGGAGGAGGAGGAGGAGGGGGCGGAGGCGCGCGGGGAGGGGTCGGCCCTGCTCCAATGGGGGTTCGGGCGGCCCCGCCGCTGGGGAAGGCGCGGTTGGATACTCTGGCGTGCCGCACACCGTGAAGGCGCGGGCCGTGCTGGACCAGACGGGCAGCGCCATGCCCAGGTCGCACAGCTTGCCTGCTAAAGCAGGATCGGGTGCAGGGACACTCCTCCTCCCTGAGACTCCTCCCCTCACCTTCTCCTCCTCCTCAACCTGCTCCTCCTCCTTTTTCTCCCCGTCCTCCTCCTCCCTCTCCTCCGCTTCCGCCTCCTCCTCCTCCTCCTCTCCTCCTCCTCCTCCTCATCATCATCATCATCATCATCATCATCATCATCATCATCATCATCATCATCATCATCATCATCATCATCATCATCATCATCATCTCATCATCAGCAGCAGCATCATCATCATCATCCATCATCATCATCATCATCATCATCATCAGCAGCAGCAGCAGCAGCAGCAGCAGCAGCAGCATCATCTCATCATCATCATCATCATCATCATCATCATCATCATCATCATCATCTCATCATCATCATCATCATATCGTCATCATCATCATCGTCATCATCGTCACCCTCACCCTCCACCCCCTCATCATCCTCCACCTCAGTATCATCATCATCATCATCATCCCCACCATCATCAACATCAACATCAACATCATCATCATCATCATCCTCCTCCTCCTCCTCCTCCTCCTCATCATCATCATCATCATCATCAGCATCATCATCATCATCATCATCATCATCGTCACCATCAGTATCATCAGCCGCAGTATCACCACCACCAGTATTATCATCAGCATCATCATCATCAGCATCATCATCGCCAGCATTAATCTCATCACCAGCAACATCTTCATCGTCGCCCCCACCATTACTAGCATATGCATCATCACCATTGTGTTGAGCACCAGCATCATCAACACCACCGTCGTCATCATCATCAGCCGCAGGAACATCACCATCATCATCAGCATCATCATCACCACCATCATCAGCAACATCGTCGTCATCATGATACCATGGCCAGCAGCGTTGCCATCGTCCTGTCCCCAATGTTCATTGTAGCCACAATACACATCCGAATCATCATTCCCATCATGTTCATCATCATCGTGATCCTCCTGCATTTGATTATCCTCCTTTCCTCCAGGCCCCCCTCCTCCTTACCCTGTTCTCCTTGTCCTGCTCGTCCTGTTCGTCCTCATTCCGCTCTCTGTTTCCATCATTTGTTCTCTCTCTCTCTCTCTCTCTCCGCACATTCCCCCTCCTTCCTCCGTCCTCCTTCCTCCGTCTACACATCCGCATTGCCTCTGTTCCCCGCTTCGCCCCCTCCTCCCTCTCCAGGTCGGCGGCGTCTGCCTTCTCCTGCTCCGCCCTCCCCCCAACGCCCACCTCACGGCCGATTCGTCCTCACACTGGGCGGAAAGGGCTCCGCGCACGCGACCGCGTCCACGGGCGCGGCCCCCCTTTAGGGACTGCCTGTGCGCACCGAGGATGCCGACGAGGTCGAGCCAGGAATAACGAGGGACTGCATTAGGTGAAGGGGTGGAGGAGGAGGAGGAGGAGGAGGAGGAGAGCGAAGAGGAGGACGACTCGACTCGACCTTAGACTCGACAGTCCTGCGTGCCACTGCGGGACATACCCAAATTGGCACGACTCCCTCATCCACTGCAGTCGTGCATCGCGGCGCTGACAAACAACTGGACCTGGCGGTGATGTGTGTTTTTTTTTTTTCTGTCCAGGCACGCAGCTGCGAGTGAAAGAGCCAAACAAATAGCGATGCAGGCGACGTAGGGCGACAGCAAAGCCTGCTGGCACAATGGCGTCGTCCTCCACCACCACCACCACCGAAAACCACCCCTCATGTTTCATCTTTGGCCAGGCAAGCTGTCAAGAGCAAGTCCGGAGAAAGAACGAACTGCGTCTCCTTCTCGACTGCAGACGCACCTCTGCTGTGCATCGAGCGCGTGCGGTCCCTCAAGAGCGGGTGCGGGCCCCGCTGGCACCCCCGAGGCCCGCTCGCCGCGAGCGGAGGGCCGGGCGGCACCCGCGCGGGGTGCGGAGGCCCTGGCTGGGCTGACCGGCCCGCCTTCGATCGAGGATCGGCCGGCATGTCCAAGAAGGGCATTGCCGCATTGCCTCCTCCTCCTTCTCCTCCTCCTCCTCCTCCTCCTCCTCCTCGTCCTCGTCCTCCTTCTCCTTGTCCTCCTCCTCCTTCTCCTCCTCCTCCTCCTCCTCCGCCCTCCTCCTCCGCCCTCCTCCTCCTCCTCCTCCGCCCTCCTCCTTCTCCTCCTCGTGCTAGCGCCGCCCGGGGGGGGGGGGGGGGGGGCAACTGCTGCCCCCCAGCGCGGCGGCTCCAGTGGGCCCGTATCACGAGGATGCGCGCTGGGATGCACGAGCCTCTCGGGTCGGGCGAAAGGGGGGGATAGCAAAGGGGGGGTTCAGAATCAGCTCACGTAGCTGATTTTCCAGGCGCCTCCCGGCGCCGGAGGCGGCCATGTATCGAGGAATGGGCCCTTCGGTGAGGCCGAAACCAGCTGCATGCAGCAAATTTCGTACCCCCCCCCTTTCCGAATCCCCCCCTTTCGCCCGGCCCAAGCCTCGGGCGCCCACGTTGAAGCTTCTCGAGCGGGGCGCGGCCGACGAGAGTGGCCAAGGATGGACCGAGGAGGCAAGGATGCAAGGATGTCGTTGGGAGGGTTGCCCATCCTTAGCATGCGGGTGGACCGTGCCCCAGATGTTGGTCCAGACCCACTGGGTCTTTCTCATCGGACTCGGGTTCGCAGATCGCCTCCGCCACCTTGCGCCCTCGCTCGCGCTCGTGGGGCGAGGAGGCCGAGCGTGTCTCGGGCCTGAGGTCTGGCAGAGCTCCTCGCGCTCGTTAGACACGCGTAGAGCAGGTTTACTGTAGTGCCACGTGTAGACGACAGCACGTTTCAGGCATAGGCTGCAAGGAGTGGCGGTGAGGCAGAGGGAAGCAAGGTAGGGGAGGGACTGGAAACGGAGAAGAATGGCAAATAAAAGCACACGAGGAGGCGGAAACACCCCGAAGAGGTGGAGGCAACCTGTACGGCGAGGACGGTGGGAGAACGATGGTCGGAGAACGACGACGGCGGAAAGGAGCCACCTCGCCTGTCGTCCTCCTCCTTCCCTCCTGCCCCTCCACCGAAGCATCTATTGTCCTGTTAGCCTTAGGTCGGGCGTGTCCTCCTACAGGCGGATTTTGGGCGAATAAATAGAGATAGCAAACACTTTCTCAAACTTGTCAACAATAGTCAAATGGTTCCCAAACTATGTTTGACTATTCTTGAACATTCCTCCTGTAGAGGAACATGTCCGACTTAATGTTAGCCACTGGCGGGAGGGGAAGGGGTCCTCGCGGCGTCCCTCCAGGTCTGGTCCTGCATCCCGATCCGCTTCTGTGGGGGCCACGGGGAGCCCTAAGGTGCCGAGACACACCTCCAGAGCCCTTGCCGTCCAGGACCACCCTTTTCCTCTTGCGATTCGCTTCTGTGAGGGCCGCAGGGGGCCTGAAGGCGCCGAAGCATCTTCAGAGCCCCTGCCTTCCAGGACCTTCCCTTGTCCTCGTGGCGGCTCCGCGATACTCCCCCCTTGGACCTCCCTTGGGCCAGGCAGCACAAGGCTTCTCCGCCAGTCCCCCCCCCAATGGTCCCGTCGCAGACTTGATGGGACCATCCCGAGGAACCCCTTCCAAACGTCCGCCAAGATGCTTCGCCTATTAATCCGCGGCCCTAGAAATCCGACCCCTTCCCAGGAGCAGTGCTGCGTCCCAGATCCGTCGTGTGCATCGTCCCGGGCCCAAGTATAACGGCCCCAGGGACCGACCAATCGAGGGGGCCAGCGCGGTGCCAAGAAATCCGTGCGGAGTGTCAAAAGTTTCTGTTTAGGTTAGGTCGGGCAGGTCCTTCTGTAGGCGGAGTTGGGGCGATTTTTTGTTCAGTGACGAGGAATGGGCAAACATAGTCAAAAAGGTAGTCGAACAATCGCCCCCGAGACTATGTTTTGACTATGTTTGGATACTCCTCCCCTAGAGGGACATGCCCGACTTAATAAATGCACATGGCGCTGGATCTCCTCTGCGAGGCCGGCGCTCGGGGCGCGCCGTAGCCCCGCGAGCTGAGCACCACGTTTTCCATGCGGAGGTCGCGGTAGAGGATGCGCTGGCCGTGCAAGTGCTCCAGGCCTCGGCGCGCCCGGCGCCGGCGCCGCCGGGAAGGCCCCCCCCTTGGGGGGGAGCGAGGGGCCCGACTGCCTTTGCAGGTCGGGCATGCCCTCATGCAGGGGGGGATCTGGGAGGGAAGAGCGTTCCCGGACTATGTTTGAACTGTTCTTGGGTATTCCTCCTGTAGAGGGGCATGCCCGACTTGAGACTAACTCCCAGACAACCCCAGCCCAGCCCGAAGAACCAAATACAGGGCTGTGGGCGGGTACAGGTTCCACATGTGTTTTTTCTTTTTCGAAGTGTTCCCCGACACCGCCTCCCCCGACGGGGAATGGAGGGCAGATCGGGGCCGTCGGGCGGGGTCGGAGTGGTTTAAAGGGGGGGGGAAGGCCTGAAGGGGCTCAGAGGAGGAGCCTCGCGGCGATTGCGGGACGTCCCCTTGAGGACGGGACGTCTTCTCCATGGACGTCTTGGCTGTGGTGGGGGGCTCTTAGGCTGTTTTGGGGCGATACTGGGCGCCTCTTGGGCCGTCCTGGACGCTCTGCATACCGAGGAAGAGGTAATTAATGCGACAACCGTGGCCGGGGGGCGGGGGAGGGACCCCACCCACAAGTCTGGCGCATGGGCGGGCGGCGCTAGCAGACACCCCCTGGTAGGAGGAGGAGGAGGAGGAGGAGGAGGAAGGAGGAGGAAGCAGAAGAAGAAGAAGAAGAAAAAGGAAGAATAGACATAGCCCCCGCAGCTACGGATAAGAGTGAGGGGGCGACGGCGGGGTCGTCGGCAGTCTGCGAGACTCCAATGAATCCTGCCGCAGGCGTCGACTTATTATAAACAACACCGGATTTTCGTCAAAGCACTGCGGATGGGCCGCGGGCGGGTCGCGCGTGGGTCGCGGGCTGGTCACGGGTGGGTCGCGGGCGGGTCGCGGGCGATGACGACGACGACAACAGCAAGGAGCAAGCAGAATCTGCGCCGCGGAATCCTACTTCTGGGGGATCCGAAAGGTACCGATACCGCTACTCCCTGGAACTCTTCTGGGTTGCGTTCTGACCAGAACATCGGGGCGAATCCAGCGGTGGCGACGAGGGCCAGCTGGGAGGCCCAGAAAGGGTGGAGGATGGGCGAAGGGTGGCGGTATGGGTACCTCTTCCTCCTCTGAGCTTCAACCGCGCACGAGGGTGGTGCAAGACCGTTCGGCCCGCTTCCCTCCAAACATAAAAATATGCAGTGCCGTTTTTAATGCATGCTCCGCGTGCGGATCATGTATTACAGATGTGAAGATTTAGTCGTAAAAACAACGATGGGTTCATGCATACATTTATTCATATATTAATCATGTATTAAAATCCAATATGTTCTAAAATCCAATGTATTGAAAACTGCCCTTTATAGAGGGAGACGGAGAAGCCCAGAGAGCGGCACGAACATGCACGCTCGGAGGCCCGCCGCCGCCGAACCCCGCCCCGACCCCAGCGAGCCGGGGACGGCGCCAGGGCTGGCGGGCAAGGGGGGGCTCCAGCAACGGCCCGGGAACTATGCGCGGTGCTCCGGGCGTGTGTGCCCGCGTCGTGCGAGGGGTGGGGGAGGGCGCGATCGCCTGGACCGCCGAACGCGCGCGCGAGCGAAGCAGCAGAAAGAGTGACAGGCTGGGAAGAGAGAAAGACTCTGCGACACAGAGGCATACATATAGAGGGAGAGAGAAAGAAAAGGAAATACATACATAAACAGAGAGGCAGAGAGAGAGAGAAAGAAACATAGAAAAACGGAGAGAACAAGAGAGAGAGAGAGAGACAGAGAAAGAGAGAGAGAGAGAGAGAGAGATAACAAACAAAAGAGAGAGCGAGAAAGATTGGCGCGCTCCGAGATTTCGACTTTGCGGTGCGTCCTGCAGTGCGCAGAGAGAGAGAGAGAAAGAGAGAGAGAGAGAGCGAGAGAGAACACATAGACGCAGATAGAGAGAGAGATATATTAAACAAACTAGAAGAGAGAGAGAAAGAGAGAGAGAGAGAGAGCGCGAGAGCGGGAGAGAGAGAGAAAGAGAGAGAGAGAGAGAGAGAGAACGAGAGAGAGACAGAGAGCGAGGGAGAGCGAGAGAGAGAGAGCGATAGAGAGAGAGAGAGAGAGGGAGAGCGAGGAGCTGAGAACGAGAGAAAGAGCGCGAGCGAGAGAGGATAAGGAGAAGAAGGAGGAGGAGGAGGAGGAGACGAAGGAGAGGCGCTCTGGCCGAGGAACCGGGGACGGCGCCCCTCCCGGGCCGCGCCCAGGCGTGGCGCCGCCATGGCGGAGAGGATGCCCGCGACCAAGAGCCAGAGCCGCATCATGAACGAGTTCACTGGCGACCCGCCAAGACGTACCCGCACACAGCGCGGAGACCGACAGCATCGACACAAAGATCGTAACCCACAGCTGGCGTGGGACCCCATATATGCGGCGAGATCGCGCATTTCCGACGCGGCCCGGGAAGGCCTCGCACTGGACTCAAAGGACGTGGCCATCATACTCTGTAGCAGCGGACCGCCCTCCAACAACGGCGGCTTCGCCGAAGAATGCCGATTTCACCACCATTGCGACTGGTACCGTGGCGATTGGCATCGGCTCAAATGGCACCGACACGACTGGCATCATCATGGGAAGAGTCAGTGGGACCATTGGCACGGGCACCACGACGATGAGCAGCAGGGACGGCATCGACATGACTGGCATCATCATGGGAGGTATCAGCGGGACTACTGGTTTGGTTACGACGACGAGCACCACAGGCGGCACACCCGCGCCGACGGCAGCATCCATCGCGCTCGACCCTACGCCGAACGCCCCCACCTTCACACCGCTACAACCGCTGCAGCGCCACGACCGCGACAACTCTGGGACCTACGACGCTCACGAGACGCACGACTGCAAGCAGGCAGACGGGGCTACGACAGCACCCGCGACACCACGCAAAGGCCTCGACGACATCACCAGCGACTGGAGGAACACCATCGGCATCCAAAGGGCGAGTTGCTTCGACTACGGCGCCAACGGTCCCCACCACTACATTTACGCCTACCGTAGCCTACCCGGACGACATGCGGCTAGGGAACCATCGAAGACGCCAACCACAAGGCAGTCGCTCGCCGCACGGGGGCCTCGGCAGAAGCATCAACATCCGCAACACCCAACGGCATATGCGTCTCTGGCATCGGCAACATCGACAACCACGCTCTCCACGCCACTTTCAGCATCTTCGGCAAAATCAAGACCTGCCGCGTCATCTGGGGCCCAGGAGGCGCCCAACAGGGCCACGTGCAATTCGAAACAGACGAAGCGCTTCACAAGTTCATCCAGTACTCAAAGACCAAAGGCATCTACGTCGGCCAGACCGCTGTACAGGCCACCGTGTGGAGGAACGCCCGACGCGACGACACTCCCGACGCACTACCCGACCCCCGAACCGACGCCCAACCCGACGCCCAAACCGACGCCCAGCCCCGCGCCCAACCCGACGCCCCACCCAACGCCCCGCGCAACGCCTTTCCCGACGCCCTTCTCGGCGCCCACACCGACGCCCTACCCGACGCCCAACTTGATGCCCTTCCCGACGCCCAAACTGACGCCCATCCCCGGCCCCAACCCGACGCCCTTCCCGACGCCCCTCCCGACTCCATTTCCGACGCCCTTCCCGACGCCCAACCCGACGCCCCTCCCGACGCCCAACCCGACGCCCCCCCGCGACGCCCCGCCTGCGACCTCCAAGGACTTCACTTTCACGGCCTCCAAGGACGTCAATTCCGCGGCCTCCAAGGGCTCCAATTTCGCGGCAGAGGCGCGCAAGCACTTCAATTTCATGACCTCCATGGACCCCAATTTCGAGCCCTCCAAGGACACCAACTTCATTCCAAACATCACCCCCAATCTAAAGGCCTCCAAGGACTTCAATTTCGCGGACCACCTCACGGATCCAGAGGCTACCTACCAGAACATCGATTTCAAGGCTTTTGGAACGGCCGGAGCCACCCGCGACGACGACGCCGACCACTCCAACGACGACCCCGACGATGCTCCCACCGACACCCCTCACGCACCCCCTCCCGACGCTCCCTCCGCCGCCACTCCCGACGCGCCGCCCGACGCCCCCGCCGACGCCCAACCCGACGCCCAACCCTGCGCCCAACCCTACGCCCAACCCGACACCCGAACCGACGACAAAACCTACTCCCAACCCGACGCCCGAACCGACGCCCAAACCGATGCCCAGCCCCGCGCCCAACCTGACGCCCAACCCGATCCCTCCCCGACGCCCTCCCCGACGCCCAGCCTCACGCCCATCCCGACACCCTTCCCGACGTCCAAACCGACGCCCACCCCGACGCCCTTTCCGACGCCCTTCCTTACGCCCAGCCCCACGCCCAGCCCCACGCCCAGCAGGCAACCAACACTCAGCTTACCGAGCTCACGAGCGGCACCACCACACACGCCACCAACACCATTGCCGCCACCAGGACCGTGCGCCAGTCCCAGAGTCCGAGTTCACACCAGAGGGACCTCTACCAGCGGGAACAGACCCAGCGCCAGCGCCGACGCCAGCTGAACCAGCACCAGCACCAGAGCCGACACCAGCACCAGCACCAGAGCCGACGCCAGCGCCACGCCTCGAGCAAGGTACAAGACGACCCTGGCTTCCGAGCCCTGCCGCCCTCCTGGCGACACCATCACACAACGCACATTCTAGTGTGCAACGCCCCTCCGACCTCTAGCGCCCTCAGTCCTCACCGACTGGCTCCGCCCCTGAGGCAACGCAACCCGCCGATGGCGGCACTCGGCCACAGCCGCCTCACCCCCCCCCCCGTACTGCTCTTCGGCTAAGCACCCACGACGTTGGCGGCGACACCCGTCAGAGGCCTGCGGCCCCCGCCTCCGCCGCGGGCGCATGGCCTGCGGCCACCCCTGCCCGCGCCCCCGAGCAGAGACCTGTCCACTCTCCCCCCCTCCCAGAACCCCGACGCCCTTCCCACCCACCTCTACGACCACCACCCACCCTCCTCCTCTACGACCACCACCCCTCCCGACGCAGCATGCCCAAATAATTACGACATCCACCACAGCAGTAACCCGGAGAAGCAATTAAGGAACCCCCCGGCGTTATCATTAGCACCGCGCCGTAATTAAATAATTATTTGGGGGGGTTTTCGCCGAGCGATATTATTAGCACCGCGCAAATGGAAGGAAAATAAATAATTCCAGCGCCCCGCCTCGGGTGGCATCCCAATTAGAATTGTAATGAGAATTGTAATGAGAAGCCCCTCCCCTGCGACACCCGTGGGACCTGTGGGACCTCACACGGGAACCACTTTGAAACTTGTGGGACCTGCGAGACCTGCGGGACTCCGTGGGACCCGTGCGATCTGGTGTACCCCCTCCTGGTGCCAGGATAACGCTTCCGGGTGCCGGGTGCGTTATCCTCTCACCGGAGAGGGGGGGGGGGGGTCCTTAATCGCTTACTCGGGTTATCATGGATGGGTATACTACTGCGCCGACCTGAACGCCAGCGAGGCTTTCACGGCCCTGATGGGCCAGAGCGGCAGGGATTAGCTTGGGATGTGTGGGTGAGGCTGGGAGCGAGATTCGGGGGTGCTTCGGGGAGGACGACCAAACTTTGAATCCCCCCCGAGGCCCCTGGAGGGGGCCTCGGCGCAGGATGGGTGGCTGCACGATGAACCTTCGTGTGCCACGAGTCGAGCCACTTGCCGTCGCTCGGACGTCCATTTCCCGTGAATGTTTCGGTTTCGTGCGTGTTTTTGTTGCTCGATGGTCCAGGATGGTCCTCGATGGCTCTCGCCGAGAAAACACGCACATGTCCGAGCGATGCCGAGGCCAAAAGAAGAAGGAGCGACGGCGCCTCTCCCGGACCGCCGGGCACGCCGGGACTGCGCGCGCGCGCACCGGCGGCCGATCGCACGCGCGGTCGGTCCGACCTTCCCCAAGGGCGCCCAGCTTCGTGCCTCGCGCGAGAGCGCGAAGAGCTTCGCGCTCTCGCGCCGCCCCCCATGGGAAAAGAGGAGGACGCAGAGGAGCCAGAGCGCGAAGCGCGAAGCGCGAATAGCTTCGCGCTCTCGCGCCGCCCCCAAGGTGAGGAGAGGAGGATGAGGAGGAACCAGAGCCTACCGCTGCTATCTGCACTCCTCTTAATCCCGCGCCGGCAGCTGCCTTCCTTCGATGTCACGGGCCTCAGGTCGGCCTTCTTGTCTGCCTTGAGGCCTCTCGCACTGACAGGATGCAGCCAGCACAGCACTGAACGTCCGACCAACGCAAAAATCGGTATCGGGCCAGGGGGGGAAGTGATAGGGGCGGGCCTTCTCAGAACGCTCGGAATCCCCCCAGCCTTCTGAGAAATTCTCAAAGCCTCTCCCGAAGACTCAAGACAACTCATCACGAGGCCAAAGGGCTTCTGAGAAGTTCCGCCGCCTTCTGGGATGGCATTCTCCTTCTCACTTCCCCCCCAGACCCTAACCCATTTCCCGGGACCGGCTTTTCGTCCTGAGTCGACTTTTGACGGTCCCGAGGCCCGGTAAGGGCCCCTGGAGGCCGAAGATTGAGAAAAAACACCCGTCGTGATTTCGTCGCAACGCGAGGGGGTCTGGCTTCCTTCTCTCGCTTCTCCCCCCGCTCGTCGCCGAAAAAGAGGAACCCGAGCGCGAAGCGCGAGGCGCCGAGGACTTCGCGGCCTCGAGGGCGCCCCCGCTCCCGAGCGGGGGGCGGGCGGGCCGGCGGGCGGGCTGGGCCCACGAGCCGAGCAGCACGCAGGCGGTGTAGAAGCGGGCGTGGGGCTCGGAGGCGTACCTCCGTCGGGGGCGGCAGGCTGCGTCGTCGCTCCTCCTCGCCCTCCTCCTCCTCCTCCACTTCCTCTTCCTCCTCCTCCCTCCGCCCTCCTCCCTCCCTCCTGCTCCTGATGCCGCTCCTCCTCCTCCTCCTCCTCCTCCTCCTCCTCCTCCTCCTCCTCCTCCTCCTCCCCGTTCCGATCCTCCTCCCCCTCCCCATCCTCCTGTCTCCTCCTCGTCCTCCTCCCTCCTCCTCCCCTCCTCCTCCCCCTCCCCCTCCTC